GCTCCGACACCATCAAAGACGGATTTTATGACGCTCTGAATGTCTTGCTGCGGCGAGCTAAAAGCTCAGATACCGTGGTGGTTGCTGGAGATCTGAATGCGCAAGTGGGTAGGCTTAGCCTAAACGAGAATCAATTAGGAGTTCGACACGGATTGGATTCGGAACGTACAGACAGTGAGGAACGGTTGCTTCAGCTGTGTGCTGAACAGCAAGCGCGATTCCGGCCTGGTAGGAGTTGCGTTGACCAAAGCTCCAGACTCCGTCAGGTACCAGAACAACGCCATACGTATAAACGAGCCACAATTTCAGTATTCTTGGATTTCCAAGGCGCATTCAGTTCGGTTCAATGGTCTGTTCTTCGTGACACGCTTGCCCACCAAGGAATGCCCCGGAAGTTCGTGGACATGATAAGTTTTTTTGTATTCTTAGACATCCGGACGTGTAAAAGTATACGCCGAACTCTCTAAAGGATTCCGCACACAAAGTGGTGTCCATCAGGGATGCCCCCCTATTTAAATTCGTGATTGATGAGATCATTAGATGAACACTAGGAGTCTCCAAAACCCGGTGTTTAGACAGCCTCTAAGGAAAACCTTGTCAATATAGAATATGCGGACGACATCATTCTCATATTCTAAGAGAAAGAGGTGTTTTTTGATGAACTGATCATTATACTATTCTTTGGTATGCACTTTGCACCCGCAAAGTGCTCCTGGACATGCAGACCATGAACACGCCACTTACAAACCAGGGAGAGGAACTGGAAGTTGTGGAGCGCTTCACGTATCTTGGAAGATGTATTAGTTCCGAGTGCAGTGTGATGGATGAGATCAATGCATGAATCTGGAAGGCTCGAGTTGCATTAACTAACCTGAGACACTTATGGTGTCAAAGTGATGTATCCCTGAATCTCAAGGGACGTGTGTGTCAAACTAAAGTGCGGGCTGTTTTGTTTCATGGTTGTGAGACTTGGCCTGTTTGGACTGCGGAATTGAGACGTCTTCAGCCGTTCAACAATCGTTGTCTCAGAACCATTGCTCGTATATGTTGGTGTCGGCGTATCCGTAATGAGGCAACTAGAAACCGAGTTTTCTGTTGTGCAGCGGGTACTTCCATTGAAGAATGTGTCCAGCACCAGAAGTTGCGTTGGTTGGGACGTGTGTTGCGTATGCCTGAACATCGCTTGCCGAAGAGAGTGCTGTCTGTTTTCCATGCCCAACTCAGAGTGGCGTAAACAGAGAGGTGGCCAACCCTTGACTTGGCAGAGGAGTATGAAGGAGATCACGAAACGCTTGGGTGATGTCGGTGCTACTCACCTTCCAGGATGGGGACTGCGTGATTCCCACTGCGCCTGGTTGGAGACACTACAAGATATGGCTGCCAACCGATGTCAGTGGTGTTCTGGTTATCAGTTTCTATCCAGATCGCCTGAGTGAGTGTCTGGAGGTGTAGGCACCCCGGAATGATTGTGGTAAGCTAGCACTAAGTCCCTTCCCCGTCCACCTTTATTATTTTCTTTACAATAAGGCCTTCATTAAATCATGGTTGTACGGCAGCGAAGCATCGGTGTCGAACCCTGGTGTCATGCTATCGATGATGATGATGACTCATTCTGCAGACACTTTCTCTCCACTTTGCAGAGCACCAATAAGTTTTGTTAGATGAGTAACCAGGTATTCTCCACCTTCTCTGAAGAAAACTGCATAAAAGCCACGCGGTCCTGCTGGCTTCTCACGTTTTGGAAGGAACAGTGAGTGCTTTAATTCTTCTGACAAGCAACTAAAACTTAAATTCCATTCACCCACATCAACTACCTCCAGTGATTGTGTTGCAGGAGACCATCTAAGCTGTTCTTCAGAGTATTCGGCCCATCTCTCCAGTTGGCGCTTCTGCCAGTGAATTAATGAATTAGTGAAATATCGCTTCGCTGAGCGATTTTCTTTTGGTCAGTCGGTCTTATTAAGTCGTGCGGGGCATGGCCATTTCCGGTGGCACAAGCCTTTTCCATTTCCTGAGCTTTTATTGTCAACCAAAGATCTCGGCCTTTCCTTAAGCTCTTCATTATCTGGGAGATTTGCGTGAGCCCTCGTACTCGTTGCCTGCTGACATGGATTTCCTGAGATTACTCAGGAACCCAGACCTCGACGACATCCAATGGTCACTTTACCGTTTCGGAGAAGTTAGACAGATACCATAGCTCCCTCCATATTTTGGCATGATTCATGCACGTGCACACAATGATTGCAGTATTGCTTTACTATGCATAATAGTTGGGCTAGCTCAGATCGATAATGCTGACATGGTAGTTATCCGAAGATGGTGGATGGCCATGTTTCTTGCTGAATTGCGAGGGTCTGAAGGAAAACGAACTATCAGCCGTGCTCGTAATATGGGGCGATCGGAATCGTGTTGTGTGCCACAGAAGGCAGTCTTGAATAGGGGCTCTCAATCGGTGGCTGACAGTCACTGTAACTATTTGGGTCCACAGTTGATTGACGCTTGGCGGCTGGCAGGTGGCGCAGTGCAGGGCGTTTATATTGAATATTCCCGCTTCCCAGAAACAGCCGGAGGATTCGCTTCCGTTGCTTGTGTGGCGAGTATCGTTTACGAAATAACTACCAACATGTGATTCCAATGGGCTCAAAAGACCTAGTTTGGGGTTCCTATCGTCCGGTTGGATGACAGTGTCAGTGCTTCTCACTTGATGAATGAGCCCAGACAAACTTTGATACAGCATCAGAACTGCAGTCCATTTGTTTATATACCGACACTACAGAAGGTACCCAAGTTTCTGTCCCGTAACACTGAGCTTGATTGAGCTGGATAAAGAAACGGCATAGACGGCTACTCAATGGAATCCAATCCGGTAAATCGCACTCCGCTTTGAGATTATGTGTAACCCACACGCCATGTGACCCACGAAAGAGCCGAGTTAGTCTTATATGCGTGCTTCAGAGACACAGCATACATCACTTTGAAGAGGTATAAGGTATCAGCAAGCATTGTCAGTTTGCCGATTTGATATAGTGTACCGACGTTGAAAGCTCCTACGCAGACCCTATGTAGAGAGGATCTCATGGAATTAGTAATGTTAGTTCGTCTACTAAATGAACAGCGGGTTGGGCGCATCATCCAGACGACTGGCAATCAGATGATCCAGAAGAGGTATAAGGTATCAGCAAGCATTGTCAGTTTGCCGATTTGATATAGTGTACCGACGTTGAAAGCTCCTACGCAGACCCTATGTAGAGAGGATCTCATGGAATTAGTAATGTTAGTTCGTCTACTAAATGAACAGCGGGTTGGGCGCATCATCCAGACGACTGGCAATCAGATGATCCAGTGATGTTTGTTGGGATATAAAAAAAATAATAAATCGTTCAGCTGTAGCACCCTTTCGGTGCCTAGCTGACAAGCCACACGAAGGAGGCACGAGGGCTGGGATACTGCCAGGTCGCCCAAGCCTAAACAGGGAAGTCGAGTGGCAGAGGTCGGGTTCGAATCACGGCCCTTCCGGTCAGTAAGTTCGCGCTCTAACCACTTGGGATAGCAGGTCGGGGATGGAAGTCACTATCATGATCACCATAGACAGCACATCAGTGTTCAGCAACCATGCTTCGACACCGTATGATAAACATCGGTAGACAAAGGACTGTGAGAGCAAGTGATATTTACTGGTTGGACAAGAGGGTTTAGTTCGGGGCCTGTGACTAAAAGGCTGACCAGCAAAGTAGCGAAGAGGACCGGGAGAGCCTGTTCGGAGTTGTGGCTGGACCGCCAAACGTGCTCAACTGCAGGGACTAACCTAATTCAATATCACAGGGAACAGGCCATAGATATCCCTTCTGATGCTGCCGTTTAGTCCACAGCTCAAGACGACGATCTTTCGAGCTGATTGCCGTTCCATCATTTGCGCTCAGTGTTCTGTCGGTTGGTCAAATCAACCAAAACAAGAAGTAGCCGTTAATCGTTCAGCTGTAACACCCTTTCCGTGCCTAGCTGCCGTGCCATCCAAAGGAAGCACGAGGGTTGTGATACTGCCAGGTTGCCCAAGCCTAGACAGAAGCCGAAATGCAGAGGTCGGATCTGAACCAATGACCTTCCAGTCAGAAAGTTAGCGCTCTAACTACTGAGCCATCTCGCGCGGCTGTTGCTTACAATGAAGGTTATCTCCGCCTACTGGGCCCTCGGAATCCACTAGCGTCGGTTCCAGGATGTAGGAAGAACACCGGACATTAAGAGTGACTAGAGAGGGACTTAGTACGGAAGGATGAGGACGGCGAAACTTTCTTGAGGGATCTTGAGGTGAATGCGGGACGAGATAGCTCAGTGGTAAGAGCGCGAATCTACTGGCCGGAAGGTCTGGTTCAGATTCGACCGTTGCCTCTGGACCTGCCCTGTCTAGGCTTGGGCGGTCTGGAAGTATTCCAGCCCTCGTGCTTCCTGCAGGTGGCATGGCAGCTAGGCACAGAAAGTGTTACAGCCATCTGGTCATGGGATCCTCCATGTATGCATCTGGTCAGAAATAGCTGGATTTCTGAAAGTCGATGATGATAGTAACAGACCTCGGAGGTCGCACTCATGGGCAGGACGTAGGATGGTGGGCACCAACATTTACAGGACTGACAGTGGCGCGAGTTTGATCATTCCCGGACTTCGGGTGTGGCGGAAAAGAAGCCACACATTTGGTGAGTATTTTGGCCCCGTTCTGTCTCGTGAAATCGTTCAGTGTAATAAATTTTCGGCGCCTAGCTGCCATGCTACCTGAAGGGGTCACAAGAGTTAAGATACTACTAGGTTGCCCAAGCCCAGACATGATAACCAACAATTATTGTCAAAGAGATGGGTAGCAGTCGTAGTCGAGTTGAGAGTATTTAGCCTATGACTTACATTTTCGGTTCAGGAGTCATCGAAATGAGTTGAGATATTTGGTCTGTGCGGCCACTGGTGGCGTGAACACGGGAACAAAACAGGTGGATGCACGGAGTGTGGCTGAATTCATGATGAACTCCCGCTGTTCCATGGAAAACACAGCAGATTACAGTCGATATTGCTCGGGAATTCGTTCGTTAATAAACACTTCACGGCGCACTCAAGATACCGTCACGAAGAGACTGGACCTTATCGTGGTGTGGCGGTTTGTGTACCTCGGCGACCCATTGAGCTATACTGGGGGGTGTCCGCGCGACACTCACAGAGTCTCTCATACCAGGTTGGTCAATGGTT